GCTGCCAGCCGAGTTTTGACCGTCGAGAAAGGTCCTTTCCACGTTCTCGATCTCATGGACTCGAATGGCGGAGGGTTGCACACTGATTGCAAGGGCAGCCGGTAACGCATCCTTGCAGCCATCTTGGTGGCTTGTGACCTGGAGTGCTGACAGATTGGCGGATGCCTCACTCCTCCCTGGTAGTGGGCCGCCTTGGTTGCCGCCTAGCGCCCCTCGAGACGCGGCGGGCGGCCCTCGTGTCGGCCGTGGTGGTGTCACATTGGCCCCTCGAGACCCAGGTGACTTATACCGCTGCTGATGCTGGTTGCTGCGATTGGGAGTGGCAACCCCACTGCCGATGCCCGTTGCGGTATCACATCTGTTTGGAGTCGTGGCCCCTCGAGACCCTGGACTCCTGGGAGTACCTGATCTGGTGCGCGAGATTGTCAGAATCTCCGCTGGTCCATTTGTTACAAGACGGCTGTCGCATTTACCTCCAGGGCCCGCCGTGCTGTCAAGCCTCTGGTGGTGGGTAGGTCGAGCATCGTAGTGGAGGACCCCACTGCCGTGCTGCGGGCTTTGGGCCCCAGCTGCTCTCTCCGGCGCTGCCCAGGAGATCGATGCTGTCGAACTGATCGGAGAGCGTGACGAAGTCCCACATCCGTCGTGCTCTGCCCTGTTGGACTCATCGGCCGCCTCCTGGCGATGAATTCTGTCATGCATAACCTGAAGCCTGGCGGCGCTGCTAGGCCCCCTCCCCCCCTCGGGGGGATTCGGCGGGCGCTGCTGCTGCCTGCACCTCGGCTCCAGGAGTTGCAGGAGGGGAGGGGGTTGCTGTGCCCCTTGTCTCGTCCCTCCTGCGGGCCACTCGGCCACGAAAACGGGCTATGCCTGACTCTCCAGAGTCTACCCGCTGACCCTTGTGGGCCTGGCTGATGTCTTCTCCTGGAAATGCGGGCACTGGACCGAACGCCTCTTCGAGGGCTGCAGCTGCGGCGGCGGCTGAGGTGTGCTGGCGCGTCATGATGTCGATGCCCTCATACTGCCTCTCGATGCTGGCCCCTGCCGCCTCCGCGTTCTGCTGGGACGCAGGGGGAGGGGTCAATACGAAGCTGCCGGCTCCCTCTCCACCACCGTGGCCGCGCTGCTCCTCATGCCCGAATGGAACTGTGGGCGTGAGTGACATCTCGCTGAGTGGCGCTGGCGATGCTGGAATGAGGATTACCTGTGATGCTGTCGGGGTGGGAGGGTCTCCTTGCTCTGCTGGTATCGAGCTAGCCCTTGACGTGGATGCCAGGTCTGTGTCTGCCTCGTGCTGCGTGATCCCCCTCATCTCGTCGCCCTCATCGGGTGTGGGGTGATCCTGGCTCCATGGCGGCCACCTGGCGGGGTAGATCATCGGCGCGTGCTCCGAGCCGTCGTCCTCCGCTCGTGAGTCCTGCGTGCCCGCTGTGCCGAACTGGGTCAGGGGGGCCTCCTCGTAGCAGCGCCTTTGGATCTCCTTCGCCTCGTGGTCCCTCACTACGGACTCCAGCTCCTCCTCCATCTGTACGGCTTCCCATTGTGCTTTCTCCTCAGCAGCTTGTCTGTGCAACTCATCTCGTTCGCGCTCGTATCTTTCTGCCTCCTCGTGCGGGTCTGGCCTGTCGGGACTCCTGCACCTGCTTCGTCGGTCTGGCGGGTTGCTGACCTGGCTGACCTATTTGATGCGGGCCTCCGAGGGGAGGGGCTGCTCTGCCTGCGGCCCCGGTTGGCTGGGCGCTCTTCAGCTGCACCAATTTGGAAGGTCGCAACGGGGGGCTCGACTGTGGCGGCCGCTGCCTCGGCTGCTCCTCTGGCTTCCTCGTACAGGTCGGCGGCCTCCTGGTAGTCGTCCATGGACTCTTGGGACGTTGGGAGGTGGCCCCCTTGGACGAGATGATGAGCTGCCCTCTTGGTGAAGTCGTAGCCCTCCTGTCCGTATTGCCTCATCTCGGCGTACAGGTTGACCATGGCCTTGCGTTCGCGTTCCCTGCTGGCTGCGATGGCTTCCAGGCTCTGCATCCTCAGCTTTAGCTCCTCTGTTTCCGACGCGCCCTGCTGCTCCTTCTTTGCGATGGCGTCTAGCTCGGTGTGCAGCGTGCTGGAGCGCTGGAGGCTTTCTTGCAGCGCAAGGTGGATAGCCTCCTCCCTGCCCGTCCTCAGCTGGCTGGCGAAGTCTTCCATGGCGGAGGCCTCCTCCATGCTGGCGATCCTGAAGGTGAGGGCCTGGGCGAGCTCCTCCTCGAGCGCCTGCTCCTGCACCTCTGCGTTGGACTTTTGCTCGCTCAGCTGCACCGCGTAGCTGCTCAGTTCCTGTCGCAGGCTCTCTGTGTGCAGCTGCAAGTCATGTGCGTTCGCCTCTTCTATCATGACTTGGCGGGTGAGACTCGCCCTTATTCCCTCAACACTGCCTTCGAGCTCTGCCCGCATTGCCTCCTTGTCCTTCAGGCTGGCCTTCGCGATCTCCTCCTCCTCTGCTCTGGTCCTTAGCAGGGCGAACTGCCAAGCCTGCACCTCATGCGGGACTTGCCGCTCCTTGTTGGCGCTTCTCAGCTCCGCTGCTTCATGATATGCCACCTGTGCTGCCCGCTGCGCAGCGCCCGCCTCAAGCTTGGAGTACTGCTGTAGCTCGTGTATGCGGGCTTCAGCTGCCTCGAGCTCGTTTTTGGTCTGCTTGAGCCGCTCCTGCTGCCGTGCTGCTGTCTGGACGATCCCTTGCAGTCTGGCCGCCTCTGCCGGCGGGAGGGCCCCTTTTCCCTTGGCGTTGGCAACCACTTGAGCCTGGGCGATTGCCTGGACCCTGGCTGATTCGGCGGCAGCTTCTATCTCGAGGGCGTGGTCCTTTTTGGCCTCCTGGAGCTTCTCTTCCATGACCAGCTCCTGCCTGGCGAGCTGCTGCTTGAGATTACCCGCTGCAGCTGTCGCTTGGGCGCTCTCATGCTGGGCCCGTCGCAGTAACTCTTGTGCCTCGGCTCTTGCCCTCATCAGGTCTTGGTAGGCGCCGTCCTGGGGTTGCGGCTTCTCCCGGTGCTCCGCTCGTACTTGCTCGAGCTGCTCATGCAGGTGATTTGCCCGGTGTGTCGCGGCTTCCGCCTCTGCCTTGGCATGAGTGAAGGCTGTGTCATGGCTGATTATTCTGGCCTCCATCTGCGTCGCGAACTCGAGCTGCTCGTATTGTTGCCTCTTGATCTCATGTCGGAGGGCCTTGTGTTGCTGCTGTTGCTGCTGCTGGGCTGCGCTCTCCGCTGCGGTGATGCGCTGCAGCTGCTCTGACTCCTCCTTGAGTGCCAGCCTCAGTTTCGCCTGCTCGCCATTGTGGCGTAGTGCTTGTTCGCGAGCAACCCTCCTTACTTCCGCCAGTTCGGCAGCGAACTCTTGCTCGGCTTCGGCATGGCGCTGCTGCTGGTGGGCCCGCTCCGCATTTGCCTTGGCCACCTGATCTGCGAAGCCTCTGGTTGCGCTGCCTGCCGAGCTGGCTCTTGATCGTGGCGGTTGCCCTACCACTCCTGATGGCCAAGCTGGGAGTCCATCACCAGGTGCTTCGCTGTTCAGGCGCCTGTCAATCACAGCCTTGTGGAAAGCATCCCAGCTCGGTGCCAAGCCGAACCCGTCCGTGTCCCAGTCGCCCTCGTCGTCCGCCGCGCCGCCGTCGGCGAGCACAGCCCTCACGTCGGCGATGTTGGACTCGAGCTGCCTCAACTCCTGCTGCTTGGCCTTGAGGTCGTCCCGCAGCTCGTTCGACTTGGCTTCTAGGGCGATGACTTCGAGTTTGACGGCCTTGCGCCTCTTGCTGAGCACCTGCAGCTGGTCGTTCGGCCTTCTCGTGACCAGCTTCTGATACTTGATGACCGCGATCTCCCGTAACTGCTCTTCAGTGCTGTCCCCCGCGGCCTGCTTGGCAATGATCAGGTCGCCCAGCTTCCTCAGCCTCTGATCGGCGGTGCTCAAGAACTTCTGGATGCCTGCGCGGTCGGCCGGGGGCGCCTGCCACTTTGGGTGGGTGGTGGCCTGGTCCAGCGTGCATGCCGCCACTGAGTCGATGACCTTTTGAGCACGCTGGTCCGCTTTGCTGGAGCTGGCCTGGCCACCCTTGCCCGCCCTGGGCTGGTGCTGCTGCTGCTGCCAGGGATGCTGACTGGGCTGCTGGTGTTGCTGCTGTGGCCATTGGCGAGGGCTGGCCTGGCCAGAGCGTCGTGGCCGCGACGGCTCCCTGCGCCAGGGCGGTTCCTCAGCAGCTGGCTCGGCGTGCCAGTGCTGTTCTCGCCAGCCAGCGCCGTGCCACCTCTCCTGACGCCATGGGGGCGCTGCTGGCGGTGCTTCTTCCTCTTGGGCCTGGCCTTTGCCGCTACGGCCACCACCGCCTCTGCCCTTACCATCACGAGCCATCGCTGGCTGGGCGGAGTGGTGGGCGGCCAGGCGCTCGGCCGCTGCCCGCAGGCGGAGCAGGAGCCTGTCCTGGGCTCTCTGCTGCCGCTCGCGGCGGTGGGCAGCGCCCTCTGGAGCTCCTCCTCGATGATGACGCGGCGTCCCGCCGCTTGGCCGCAGCGCGGCCGCGAGCGCCGCGGCCTGCGGCAGGGGACAGGGAGGCACGGGTGGCCCCCTGCCGCAGGGTATGGCGCGCGGCGCGCGTGAGCCCGGCCTCGGGGGCTGGCCGATGCGCGATGCGCCCTGCCACCGCGATCGATCGGGCGGCAGGCGCCGACCGACCCCGATGGATCGATCGGGATCGGCTGGCCCGCAAGAGGCCAAATGGCTTCCTCCTCCTCCTCCTCCTCCTCCTCCTCCTCCTCCTCCTCCTCCTCCTCCTCCTCCTCCTCCCCCGGCCTGCTTGGAGCACCCCTCGCGGCCTGCTTGGAGCACCCCTCGGAGCACCCACGGCGTCCCTGGGGCAGCACCCCTCACGAGGCCCCGAGGGCCCCAGGGGCGCCCAGCGTTAGCGAACAGAAAATATCTGGGGGCACCTCGGGCCAGGAGCGCCTCTGCACAGCATCCCCCGAGAGGTGGAGGAGCGCAGGCGGCAGCTGGCCAAGCGCCCAGGAGCGTCCCCTGCGCGCCTCGAGGGGGGGTCCTCCCTCCTCCCTCCTCGTTCCCCTCCTCCTCCGCCTCCTCCTCCTCCTCCTCCTCGGCTGCGCGTGCCCAGCCCGGGGGGCCCAAGTCTCCGAGAAACGTGGGGCGGCTGGTCTGTCGCAGCGTTCGGGCTCCAGGGGCCCTGGAGGGGCCCCCGGGGCCGTCAAACAGGCACTCGGGATCGAGATCAAGGGCGGCCCGAGGGAGGTTCGGACCTCCTGGGGCTCGCGCATCAAAACAAGTGCAGCGCCAGACGTCTCGGGAAGTGCTGCGGCCAGGAGCTTTGGCTCAGCCTGTCGCTTCGCCGGGCCTGGCCGAGCTCGCTTCAGCGCGACGCGGCATCCACGTCCCAGTCCCCAGGCGTCGACGTCCCGAGGTTCCCCCATCTTCCCGCCCAGCGGGGCGGAACGACACGCTATCCACTCGCAGGGCACAGCGTGTCGCCGGCCGCCGAGGCGGCACGCGGAGCAAGAGCTCTCTCTCTCTCTCTCTCTCTCTCTCTCTCGGAGGAGGAGGAGGAGGAGGAGCTCCTCATCTGCCATCTCCGCCGCCCCTTCTGACTCGCTCGTGGCTGCACGTAAGGGCCCGGGCATGCTGGCGCCAGGACGAGTCTTGACGGCAGGTCTTCGGCCGCTGTCGGCCCCCTGTGGGCCCGCGCCGGGCAGCCCGCATCGAAGAGGGGAAGGCGTCACGGCACACTCGGGCAACAGCGGCCCCGGCCAGTCGGCTCGGCTCCGAGGCGCGGCTCCCGGGCTGTCCGTGCAGGAGCTCGAGGCCGTCGGGCGCCACCTGGAGGTTTCAATGACCTCGGGGTGCTTTCCAGCAGAGGCGCCTCGTCGAGGGCGTCCCAGGGCTGCCCTGCTCCTCTCGCACGGCCGCAGGAGGCCCAAGTTTCGCTCGGCGAGCTGCGGCCCACACGGGGCCTCGCTTGGGCCTCGCTTGGGCCCTTTGGGGGGCCTCTTGTAGGGCCTCTTGTGGGCCTCTTGGGGGCATCTTTGGGTCTATTGTCCGACGAAGGCATCTATACACCACCACCGTGTCAGGCCAGGGCCATCCTGGGCGCCAGGATGGTGTATAGACCCTCCTGGCCTCGGCCAGGAGGGCGTATACACTATGCCAGGGCCAGGATGGCCCTGGCATGGCACGGTGGTGGTGTATCGATGCCTTCAGCGTATATTGGGCCTTCTTGGTGGTAGAATTCTCGCTGCAGAACCGGCGGCAACGATAGGATTGAATAGCCCAGGGCCGGGCATTACACGTATTCGCCCGGGAGCCTTTTCGAAGACATAGATCATCGGCGCACCTAAATACATGTATTGCTCTCCCCTGGGCTATTCGCCCCTATCGTCGCCTCTGACAGAAGCAGCACAGCGTGACCTTTGGTGTGGGCAGGCTAGGGTCGCCCGATGGCTGGGCGGGATGCAGGCTAGGGTCGCCCGATCGCTGGGCGGGATGCGGTGCAATACGAGCGGCTCTCGTGCGTGCTCCGGCTTGCCCCGTCGCGCCCCCCCGTGCCTAACCTTCAACACTCAGCTAACCATCCCAACCCAACCCGAATGCCCCAATTTGCCCTCAATTCCCAGTGGGGTGGGGTGGGGGGGGCGTCGGGGAGCATTGAAAAAGACACGTGTGGGTCCCGTAGCTCTCCCAACCCGACACTTGGGCTTGCCGAGGAGGAGGAGGAGGGTTGATGATCGAGGAGGAGGAGGAGGAGGAGGAGGAGGAGGAGGAGGAGGATCGAGGAGGAGGAGGATCGAGGAGGAGGTGGAGGAGGAGGAGGAGGAGGAGGAGGACGACGACGTAGGAGGATGAGGATGAGGAGGTGGAGGAGAAGGAGGAGGAGGAGGAGGAGGAGGAGGGTCGAGGGTCGAGGGTCGAGTGTCCAAGGTCCATGGTCGAGGAGGAGGAAGAGGAGGATCGAGGAGAGGCCCCCCCTGTGCACAACCTGAAGGCACGCGCCAGAGGTCCCCCTTGCCCAGGGCCACTCCTGCGTGCGGCAGGCCCCCCTCCTCTTCCCGCAGGAGAAGGAGGACGCGCCGCAGGAGCGCGGGAGCAGGAGCGAGTGGCAGCAGAAGCAGGAGGAGCCAGGGATGATGATGATGATGATGAGGAGGAGGAGGAGGAGGCGGAGGAGTGGGAGAAGAAGGAGGAGGAGGAGGAGGGGAAGGATGTGGAGAAGGCCGCGCGCGCCGCCGCCGTCGCGAGGCGAGCAGGAGGTGGGTGAGCGGTCCGGCGCACGCGGGCGCTGCACGGCGCGCGCGGGCGCCGACCGCTTGCCTCGGGACCCCCGTGGAGGAGGAGGAGGAGGAGGAGGAGGTGGAGGAGGAGGAGGAGGAGGAGGAGGAGGAGGAGGAGGAGGAGCATGAGGAGGAGGAGGAGGAGGAGGAGGAGGAGGAGGAGGAGGAGCAGGAGCAGGAGCAGCGGGAGCACAGGCACGAGAGAAGAACCATACGCATAAGCACAAGCGCTCGGAGACCCGCGCAGATTTCGTGGACCAGCGCTGGGCTGGGTCCCCTGACGGCGCCTCTGGCGCTGGCCGTGGTGGGCTCCGCGCGCCAGTGCGGATCCAAGAAATCCGCGCGGGTTGCAGGGAGTTTCTGGTTGTGCAGTCCTGCTCTCTGTGTTCGTGCTCCTGCTCATCCTTCTCCCCCTCCCTGTCCTACTGCTCCTGCTCCCCCTCCCTGTCCTACTGACCCTGCTGCTCTTTGCTCCTGCTTCGTCTATTCCTGCTTCCCCTCCTCCCGTATTGATCTCCTGCTGCTCCTTCCCCTCCTCCTCCTCCTCCTCCTCCTCCTCCTCCTCCTCCTCCTCCTCCTCCTCCTCCTCCTCCTCCTCCTCCTCTCCGCCTCCTCATCATCATCTTTCTTCTGCTCCGCCTGCTAGCACGTAAGTGATGTTCCTCAAGGGCAGCGCTTGTGGATACGTTTCTCGGGGCCCGAGTCTAGCCTACCTTTCTGTCGACCTCGAAGGCCCTTCGAGGCGAAGTTGTTCTGAGGTCACTGGTCAGCCGCTCCGTTCCGCCTCCTCCCGCTGTCTCTCACCTACGTCCTTCTCCTGCTCCTGCTCCTGCTCCGCCACCTCCTTCTCCCGCTTCTCCCCTTGCTCCTCCCTCTCCCTTTCCTCCCTCTGTTCCCCCTTTTCCTCCTCGTCCTCCTGCTTTTGCTCCCTATCGTCGTCCTCCCCCCTCTCTCCTCCGGGGGAGGAGTCGGAGGAGGTGGAGGAGAAAGAAGAAGAAACAGGAACAGGAGGATTGTCCTGAATTGTCCTGGTGTGCTCTCTAGGGCCAAGCGCGCTCGGGTCCTTAGTGGATGCATCCCGGCTACGCCAAGCTGATCCTAGCCCAGCTGTGGAGGAGTGCTGTCTCTGAAATGTAGCTGACGACGCTGGGTCCTAGCGCCAGCCTGCCGCGCAAGCACGCGTCCCCCCCCCCTCCCCCCACACCACACGAACGGATCCCAACTCTACAGCTGATGGCTTGGTTCGCGTGTCTGTCTTTCGCCTCGTCTGAGCCAACATGGCCCAAATCTCAACTTTGTAGCTGATGATCGTACCTGCCGCCGCGGCTTCCGCACTACAGCCGCTTCTTCCCCGTGCTTGCACTCTTCCGCCATGGCCCGAGCGCTTTTACGCCTCCTTCGCACGAGCTGATCCCTGCACCGCAGCTGATCGCTTGTGCTTTGCGCTCCTTGCCGTGCAAGGTGCGCATGTTACGCACGCGCTGGTTCCTGCCCTGGAGCTGAAGGCATGGATCCTGCGCGCCGGCCCTGCTGTCACTGCCCGCCCTTCTCGCAAGCCGTGGCCCGGGAGCTGCAGATGATGACGGAAGGCTCGCCTTCCTCCTTCCGCTTGGCACCGCTGTTCTCCGCTCTCGCAGTCCACCCTGGTCTTCGCTTGGTGCGCGGGGTCGTGGGGCGGGCCCGGCTGTTCCTCGCCCCCGCGCGCGCCTCCTCCTCAAGGTCGCTGACGGTGCGGGCCTGGCCATCCTTTGCCACGGCCTCTCTGGCACGAGCTGGCCCCTTCGATGCCTGCTGCCCCTGCCTGCCGTCCTCGCACTCCGTGGCCCGACGTTGGGCTCGACGCCGTCCCTCCGCCGGCAACCACCGCTTGACGGGCCTGTTTTCCACAACCACCACCATAAGTTGGAGGGGGGGGAAGGAGGTGGAGGAGGAGGAGGAAGAGGAGGAGGAGGAGGAGGAGGAGGAGGAGGAGAGAGGAGGAGGAGGAGGAGGAGGAGGAGGAGGAGGAGGAGGAGGTGGAGGAGGAGGCGTAGGAGGAGGAGGAGGAGGAGGAGGAGGAGGAGAAGAAGAGGAGTAGGCGGAGGAGGAGGTGGAGAGAGGAGGAGGAGGAGGAGGGAGGAGGAGGAGGAGGAGGAGGAGGAGGAGGAGGAGCGCCCCCTCCCCCTCCAAATTGTAGTGGTGATGGTGGTTGGCGACGGGCCCATCACTGCTCGCCCTCTCACGGATGCTGCCGCTGCGAGCTGTCTCGCCAGCGGCACCCGCTGCTCTCGGCCACCGCTCGGCGGCGGCACGCGCCGTGGCCCAGGAGCGTCGTGGCCGATCACGCCTGCCGCGCTGTCGATCGGCGTTCGCCTGTCGCGGACGCCCGCTTCTTCGCGAGCGTCAAGTCGGGCCTGTGCCTCTGCAGGAGGAATACTCAAAAAAATAGTCGAAGAATCGTCTGGGGACGGTTTCTTTACTATGTTGGCCCATTTGGGGCGTTGTTTAACATATTTCTGATGTTTCGTCTAAAACCCCCCGTAGGGGGACATGCCCGACCGAATGCAATGGTCGGAGCACACTTCTACTGCGTCCGTCGGTCGGTCCGTCTGCCAGCTCGTGCGGAGATCACGCGGCCCGTCAACGGGGTCCGTGCACCACGAAAGGGGTGCGGACCTCTGGGGATAGGAGTGCGCTGGCGATTGGGCTTGGAGCTCTCGTGATGTCGGGGGGCGAGACAAGAGGCATGGGGGTGCGCGGAGAGAGAAGCGATGGCATTGCGAGACCATGCGCTCAGATGTTGCCTGGTCCTCGTCCTGTAGCTTATGACGTTGGGATTCGACCTCCTGTGGCTCCGGGCGGCAGTGCAACTCCCAAGTTTGCCGTCCCGATGTCGTCCCCTTCCCGAGAGGAATGACTGAGGAGCGGGAGGAGGACGAGGAGGGGAGGGATGATGATGATGATGAGGAGGAGGAGGAGGAGGAGGAGGAGGACCAGTGTAAACCCAAGACTTCTCAACGATGTTGAGATACAACCTCCCTCCAATCTCACAGGCCCCATAGAAGGCTTCACTCCCACTGAGGGAAGTGCCCCGCTGGGAGACAGCCGTGTGAAAATCCAGAAGCGTGCTATACTGAAACATGCCTCTCAGGATTTTGACGTCACGGGTCAACCTGGCTGTTGCGTCTTGAGTTACTCATAAGGAAAATGAGGACGAGAAGGGGACGAGAGGGAGGACCTCCTCCTGGCTCTGGGCGGCAGTGCCATTCCCAGGCTTACCGTCCCGATGCCGGCCCCTTCCCAAGGGGAATGGCTGAGGAGGGATATGAGGACGAGGAGGGGAAGGAGGAGGATGATTCTGATGCGGAGGAGGAGGATTCGGAGTAGGAGGAAGAGGAGGAGGAGGAGGAGGAGGAGGAGGAGGACGCGGACCAGGACGAGGACGAGGACGAGGACGAGGACGATGAGGAGGAGGAGGAGGAGGATGAGGAGGACTAGGAGGACGAGGAGGGGAAGAGAGGGAGGGCTCGGAGCAGGAGGAGGTCCAGGTGTAGGCGGGGCCCTCGCCGAGCTGCGCCCACCGCCCGCCCCCGAGCCGGAGGCTGCCTTGCGCCGTGCTCCCTCCGAGCGCAGGGCCCCCCCCCACCACTTCAAGTGCGGGGAGGTCGCCGTGCTCCTTCCGCGGGAGGTCTGGGCAGAAGGCGGAGGAGGAGGATGAGGAGGATGATGATGAGGAGGAGAAGGCGGAAGAGGAGGAAGAGGAGGAGGAGAGGGAGAGAGGAGGAGGAGGAGGAGGAGGAGGAGGAGGAGGAGGAGGAGGAGGATGCAGGAGGAGGAGGAGGAGGGGAGGAGGGAGGGGGAGGGGGAGGGAGGAGGGGGGAGGGAGGGGGGAGGAAGGAGGAGAAGGAGGAGGACGAGGGGGAGGCAGATGAAAAGACGAAGTTGTAGGCAGGGGTGAAGTAGGAGGAGGACGCGGAGGAAGAGGAGGAAGAGGCAGAGGAAGAGGGAGCAGAGGATAAGGAAGAGGAGGAGGAGGAGGATAATTTGATAGGGCTGTGGATGGGTGCAGGTTGAGAGGGGGAGGAGGAGGGGAAGGGCGGTTGCGAAGGAGAACGAGGGGGCGGCGGCGGCGGAACAGCACATTGCTTTCATAATGTTCCTCTGAGCAACGGGCGACCGCAGGAGCAGGAAAAGGACGAGGAGGAGCGGGAGGTGGAGGAACGGCGCGCAGCAGCAGCCGCCGCAGCGGCTGCCGTCCTTCTACTCCTCCTCCTCCTCCTCCTCCTCCTCCTCCTCTTCCTCCTCCTCCTTCTCCGTCTCCTCCCTCTCCTTCTCCTCGCCCTCCTCCTCATTTTCCTCCTCTCCTTTTTCCTTCTCATCCTCTTTCTCCCATTCATGCTCCTCCTCCTCCTCCTCCCTCCCTCTTCCTCGTCTAGAGCGTTTTCTCTGTTACCCCTCCTACGCCTCTCCTCCTCTCCTCCTCCTCCTCCTCACCTACCTCCCTCCTCCTCCTCCTCCTCCTCCCCCTACGTCCTCGACTCCTCCTCCTCCTCCTCCTCCTCCTCCTCTTCCTCCACCGCCTCCTCTGCCTCCTCAACCTCCTCCTCTTCCTCCTCCCCCTCCTCTCCGCCGCGGCGGTCGTGGCCAGGATCCTCGCCACAGACCAGCCCGGGCCGGCCGCAGAAGCGCGTGGGCATCGCGGGCGGCCAGGACCGCTCCGGCCGCCAGGGTTCCATGAGATTTTCGCGCTTATTTGTTTCTGAGCTGGGCGTTTTCGCTTTGTTTTCTGGCTCGGGGACCCCCGCAGATAGATCCGGCTCGAAACAATGACGCATAAAGATGGGGTCCAGGGCTCCAGGCGAGATGTTCACCATGTTGTAATTCTTCACGCTTCGCGTATCCCCAACAGCCCATCTCAAAACAGCAACTCTTGCGAAGCATGCCGACAGTCGTGTTTTTCAAGCGTGTTTCCGCCTGCCCCCGCATATCTCCCCTGTTCCTCCTTCCTCCCGCCTCCTTGTACATCCTCCTTGTGGTGGGAGCGGGAGAAGGACGAGGCGGAGGAGGAGGGAGAGAACGCGCTCCTCGTGGTTTGAGTCGTTTGGGGTTTCTCGTCCTGGTGTGAGTCGTTCGGGCCCTTCTTCCTGGTGTGAGTCGTTCGGGCTCTTCGTGGTGTGAGTCGTTCGGGCTCTTCGTCCTGGTGTGAGTCGTTCGGGCTTCTCGTGGTGTGAGTTGTTCGGGCCCCTCGCCCTTGTGTGAGTCGTTCGGGCCCCTCCTCCTGGTGTGAGTCGTTCGGGCTCCTCGTGGTGTGGGTCGTTCGGGGCCCTCGTCCTGGTGTGAGTCGTTCGGGCTCCTCGTGGTGTGAGTCGTTCGGGCGCCTCGTCCTGGTGTGAGTCGTTCGGGCCCCTCCTTCTGGTGTGAGTCGTTCGGGCTCTTCGTGTTGTGAGTCGTTCGGGCCCCTCGTCCTGGTGTGAGTCGTTCGGGCTCCTCGTGGCGTGAGGCGTTCGGGCACCTCGTCCTGGTGCAAGTTGTTCGGGCCCCTCGTAGTAGGAGTAGTAGTAGTAGTAGTAGTAGTAGTAGTAGTAGTAGTAGTAGTAGTAGTCGTAGTCGTAGTCGTAGTCGTAGTCGTAGTCGTAGTCGTAGTCGTAGTCGTAGTCGTAGTCGTAGTCGTAGTCGTAGTCGTAGTCGTAGTCCGTAGTCGTAGTCGTAGTAGTCGTAGTAGTAGTAGTAGTAGTCGTAGTAGTAGTAGTAGGAGTAGTCGTAGTAGTCGTGTAAGTCGTAGTAGTAGTAGTAGTAGTAGTAGTAGTAGTAGTGTAGAGTAGTAGTAGTCGTAAGTAGTAGTAGTATAGTAGTAGTAGTAGTAGAGTAAGGAGGTAGGAGTAGATTAGAGTCAAGCTAGCCAGCTCGAGCGAGTCAAGCATGGCATGCCCAGTCCCACCCGCCCTCCCACAACATAAGAAGCAAAGCTGGCACAACTGGGGGCCGAAGTCACACCGGCCAGCCGGTTTGGTACAGCTGATGCGGCCGCGATGGCGGTTGCCGACGGGAACTGGCGAGCGCGTGTTGAATGCCGCGCACGCATTGCCAGACGAGTCGAGAATGGCCCGGTACACCGCAGGAAGCCAGAAGGCCCCAACTTGTATTGTTTTTTTATAACAGGGGGGGTTTGGATGGGCGGGCGCGGGGTGTGCGCCGCATCCCATTCCTGCCAAGCATTTTGCGACGTGGACGACAGGACGTCCATGCTGAGAGGAAAAACGTTGGTGCGCGGCGCCGAGGCGAGAGCGACATGTCACCCCTTCGCGCGGGGTGTGCACCGCGTCCCATTCCTGCCACGCATTTTGCGACGTGACGACAGCACGACCATGTTGACAAGAAAAACAAAAACTGTGTATTGTCTTTTGCAGATTAGAATGGGACGGATTGGATGGGCGGGCGCGGGGTGTGCGCCGCGTCCCATTCCTGCCATGCATTTTGCGACGTGGACGACAGGACGTCCATGCGACGGTGCCAATGACGGCGACGACTCTAGAAGGATTTGAGCATGCGCTCGCGGCGACGCGCGCGCATGTCGCCCGCGTGGTATTTTTTGCACAGGATTCGCGGCCTGGGTGCATGACAGAGCATCGCGAGTGCACCGCGCGATGACGTGAAATCGCTGGATTTGACCGAATTCTTAAGATTCCTATGGTTTTCCTATGATTTCAGCAAGAGAGCCCGGGCAGGAAATTTGTAGAATTTTTGTGAAAAAAGCATTGGGTTTTTGATGTTTTTATGTTGAAATGCTTGCAAACACACGGTGTTCGGTAGGATTCTGACATGAACGCGCGCGTGTGCTCTTTGTGTTTTTTTTTTTGCAATGGATTATCGCCGTGGACGACAGGACGTCCATGTCGAGAGGAAAAAACAAGAAAAATGTTGATTTTGTATTGTTTTTTACAGGTTAGGATGGGACCACCCGGATGGGCCCCTGTCTGCCGGCCTGAGGGGGGAGTAGGAGTATATTCCAATAAGGAATAAGGATAGGAGTAGTAGTAGTAGTAGTAGTAGTAGTAGTAGTAGTAGTAGTAGTAGTAGTAGTAGTAGTAGTAGTAGTAGTAGTAGTAGTAGTAGTAGTAGTAGTAGTAGTAGTAGTAGTGGTAGTAGTAGTAGTAGTAGTAGTAGTAGTAGTATTAGTAGTACTAGTAGTAGTAGTAGTAGTAGTAGTAGTAGTAGTAGTAGTAGTAGTAGTAGTAGTAGTAGTAGTAGTAGTAGTAGTAAGTAGTAGTAAGTAGTAGTAAGTAGTAGTAAGTAGTAGTAGTAGTAGTAGTAGTAGTAGTAGTAGTAGTAGTAGTAGTAGTAGTAGTAGTAGTAGTAGTAGTAGTAGTAGTAGTAGTAGATGTCTTTTGGGAGCCTCTTGGAGGCCTTTTGGGGCGTCTTGGGGGCCTCTTGGCGGCCCCAGGGGCTTCTAGGAGCGTCTTGGGTGCCTTGGGGGAGCCTCTTCGGGCCTCTTGGGGGCCTCTTGGAGGCCGTTTGGGGCGTCTTGGGGGCCTCTTGGCGGCCCCAGGGGCTTCCAGGAGCGTCTTGGGTGCCTCGGGGGAGCCTCTCGGGGCCTCTTGGGGGCCTCTTGGGGGCATCTTGGGGGCCTCTTGGAGGCCTCTTGGAGGCCTCTTGGGGCCTCTTGGGGCTCTTTGGGAGGGGTCTGGGAGGTATCTTGGGGCCATATTTGGGGCGATCGATCACAGATGGGGCGAGCATTTTTGTGAGTACCCCCGTCGGGGCCACGATCCTCGTGAGGCGTGTCGAATTTTAGCCCTCCCAGGGATAGAAAAAGGACCCTCTGACCACCCGCGAAACCCCCTCTCCAGGTCCAGGGGGAGGGGGTGGGGGGAGGGGTAAACCCCTCCCCGAAGGGGAAGAAGGGGGGTTGAGAACAGAGAGAGAGCTCGCTAAACCACTCACGCCCAAAGGGCTGGTGGGATTCCCCACCTCCTAAGTAGGGTTTTTGTTTTCCAAGTACACCCCGTGCAGTCCTCACCCCCCCTGTCCTCTTCACGCCCCTGTCATCATCATCGTCATCATCATCATCACCACCACCACCACCACCATCAATCTTCATTGTAGGCACCATCATCATCACTACCACCACCCCATCAGCATCATCAGCCCTCATTGTCGTTCATCCACTCTCACTCACTCACATCCACTCATCACTCAGTCGTCAGCATGTCATGATCCCATCATGATCATCGGCCATCTGCAGCGAACACCACCTTCGTGATCATTATCACAATCCCATCGTGATTATCAACCAAGAGGGCCCTTTTTTTGTGAGTGAATCGCGAGGAAGTCTGAAGCGGGATCCCCCTTCCGATGGAGCCCGCACTTCATTTTGCTAGTCGGGGCGGGTCGTCCAGATCCTGTGACCGTCGTCACTTTTGGGCCCCTCGCGATTTGGAAGAAGCCTCCGGCGGGAGCTTCGTTTGTGATTGACTTGCGAGGAAGTCTCAGGCGGGAGCCCCCTCACAGTGGAGCCCGCATGTCATGTTGTGCATCGTATCGGGTCATACAGATCATTTAACTGTCGTCACTTTTGGGCCCTTCGCGCTTGAATTTCGAAGAAGCCTCAGGCTGGAACCACGCTTGTTAGTGAAATGCGAGGAAATCTCAGGCGGGAGCCCCCTCCCTACGGAGCCCGCGCTGCACGTTGGCATTCGGAGCGGGTCATCCAGATCTTGTAATTGTGGGACCCTCGCGCCTGATGCGGCAACCTCATTTGTGAGTGAATCGCGAGGAAGTCTCAGGTGGGAACCACTCCCGATGGAACCTTCCGAAGTGGATCAACACGCGCGCTCTTCGCGACGCGCGGCGTCTGGGCACGCCCTCTGTTTTATTGCAGGCCGCCGGCGCGTGCAACACAATGCAGGGCGATTCCGACGCGGGTCGGCGCCTCCCCAGCGTCCCGAACATGCACACAACGGGTGAGATGGACGGTTTTTTATTAGCCCACGTCGGCATGGAGGTGCGATTCACAGCAGTGCGGGAAGAGCTGAATCAGAAAAACAAAATGTTGGGTTTCGTGCAGGAGCAACGGGCCACTATCGTGTCCTTCGAGTTCCACCCCGAGTACAAGCAGAGGTACCAGGAGTGCTCGCTGGGCCAGCCCTCCCGCCCCCGCTACCTATCGCAGGGAATTTGGAAGCAAACGCGCGATTTCAAGGAGTCTCCGATGTACAGGGAGGTCGGCGAGCTGCAGCGGCAGAGCGCCGAAAGCGCCGACGACGACGGCCAGTCCGAGGCGCGGGCGCGGAGTTTGCTGATGACCAGGCCCAACGAGCAGGAACTCACGTGGCAGAGTTCGGGGCGGCGCGCCGTGCGCCGCTCGGGGGTCGCCATGACGCACGCGCCCTGCCTCAACCCCACGCCGTCGCAGGGTCAGACGCTGCGCAAGAGCGTCACCACCAACTGCGCGCGGGGCGAGGACGTTGGCCGCGCGGGCGTGTCGGGCGAGCGGTGGTGGCTGCATCTGCACGTCATGTTCTCCCGCGCCACGCGCATGCGGAACGCGCTGATCCTGCGGCCGCCGCCGCGGGAGGTTCTGGGGCGAGGGCCGTCGGCATCCTTGCGGAAGGCGTTCCGGCAGCTTGACATCAGAGCGGAAAATTCCAGGGCAGATGTGGAGTAGTTCGCGGCAGAGGTGGGCTTCGTATTGCCCCCGCGCGAGCGCGGCGGCG